AAAAAAAAAAAAAATGTTTGGTACTTAGCTTATTTGTATTTTCTTTATTTATAAAAATAATAATATGATGAGTTGACAAATAAATATGAAGTAAACAGGGTATAAAAAAAATGATGAATAAATTAATTTTTTTTTAAATTAATAACTAATATATTTTTACAAACTATAATAAATTGTGTATAAATATATTAAATCTATTATTATTATTGAGGCTTCCGCTACATGTATGATATATTTTAAATTATTAATTCTGAAAATAAAAATATCTTTAGRAAAATTCAAAATAGCCAATTCGTTGAACTTTTATTTTTAGAAAATATTTGGTTGTAAAAAGATTAATTTAGGCTAAAGTAGTTAATGTTTATTTTAACTTCTATTAATGAAATTAAAAAACAAAAATAAAGTTTTTATCAAGATTAATTTTAAAAAAAATCACACAATTCAAAATAATTCGAAAATCTCACTATTAATAGAAAAAAGATTATTTAACTAGTTGGTTATTAGTTTATAAGTTAAACCAAATAAATTAAATTAGTATTTCAAAAATTAACACTTTTTTCACTTATTGTCGTTTGTGTTTTTTGACGCTTTCTAAAATACTGGGAATTTTCAATTTCGACCTCTCAAAGTATTAACTAGATTTACTTATCTATCAGGAAAGATGGTGATGTTRATAACGAGAGCATTTTGACTATCCCAAATGATGATGACAGACAGAAAAAAAAACATCATTGTTAAATATAATTCAATACATTTATTCGCTACACTCAGAATCAAAAATTTATTTGAAAATGTGTTTAAAAAAAAAAATGTATGGTAGATATTAGAAAAAATATTGACGAATGCGATCTTATAGGTATCGCAATAAAAAAAATCTGAAAATTAAAAATAAAATCTATTGATTTGTTGTTGTATAATTCAATGATTGTTTGGAAAAATCTTACCAAAACCTAAAATTAAAACAAATTAMAACCTATTACCTATTATATCTATAGCTGGTATTTTTAACATAAAGGTTTTACCTTCCATAAATCTGTCAGTTTTTTGTATTTATATCCCTCATTTTAAGTTGAATTTTTACTTAAATACATTTTTTTGAAAAAATGCTATTTGACCGAAAATGGATCACTATATCAAATATATGAAGTCAAGATTTAAGATGTTTGGCATGCTACGAAATCTGTTTCATTAATTTCTTACAATAAATACCAATAGAAGTTAGGTAGTTAGTAATAAGTTACAAATTTAGAATAGTATACCTATATTTACTGT